CGAACAAACTCTTACATTTCAAATAAAAGAAAGATTTAGAAATTAAAAGGCTGTTGACCTATAATCTACAGCCAAGCAGAAACAAAACAAAAGAAATAAAAAAATGCAAAAAAATCATTACCTCTGCCGGATATCCTGGCAAAACGATCGCAAATCCTGCTTTGTTGCAGTCGCCCATCCCTCTGCAGAGGCGCCAAACTCACATCCTTTCTCCCGTATGCGAAGCTCCCGCTCATTTGCGTCGTTAAAATGGGAGTGAGGTCTCGCTTCTTAGAGGCTTCTGACTCCACGCTGAAGACTTCAGCCTTCTCTTCTTTCTCTCGCTCATTTTCCTCGAACCGAAGCTCCACCTCTCGGCTGAACCCCTAGCCATCTGCGACAGAGCTCCCGTCGCTGCTATCTCACAAATCCCGATGCTTCTCCACCCAATCAAACCTCAACCTGAATCCCTAACCTGTTGATCCTCTGCTTGTGCCGACTCCAAGCCGCAAGAGGGAGAGAGAGAGAGAGGGAGAGTTCTTCCAACCTCGTCGAAAACCTGTTGCACCCGACTCTTGCTCCTACTCGAAGCCGCAAACCTTCAACCCTTCGACGTCTCCACCAAGGCCCAAGCCGACACTCCATTTCCCTGTACCGAACCCTTCCTGGCTGACTTCCTGCTTCTCTGCCACCATCCCTACTCCCAAAATCCTCTCCCAAGCACCAAAACCTTAACTTAACCGACCTAGCCGAACCCTCACAAGCCCACTCACCTCTCTCCCTACCTGTAGCCGACCAGAGAGGTAATGCCTCTCTTTGCTTTTGTTATTATTAGTTATATTTGGTAATAAGTATTAATATTAGTATTTATTAATATAAATACTAATTTTAATATCATATTGCTTTCATTAATACTAACTAATTTGATTATTGCTTATTATTAGTGGCATTAGTTCAAGTTCAAGTCAAGATTGAACCTACTTTGGAACTCGAATTTGAACTTGATTCAATTAATTTAAATAGATTCAAACTTAAAAGAACCAACATGACTTGAACTTGAACTCGAACTAAATTTGGGTTTGAGTCTGAACTGAATTGAACATTAAAATAGACAAGATTGAACGACATCAATCAACATACATGGGGAGATCATTGATGAATGCGATCCATTCAACAGTCAATGTTAATATACAAAGAGAATGTGCTAAATCATCCCTACAAACATATGATATCATGTCACAAATGATATGACATGCTCGTGAGCAAGGTATGAAGGATATTTGGTAGATGAAGCAGGTGCCTTAAAAAACTTCTACCATCAACATCAGAACATAAACAACCATATTCAATCTTGCAAGCAATGAAATAGGAGGGGATGTATAATTTGATCCCGAACAAATATACAATCAATAATTCTTATGAGCATTAGAAAACATGCATGTAGATGTGGTAGTTCGCCAATCAACAATACATAAGGAAATCAAGAACATATACAAGCACCTACAAGCTGTGTAGTAGAAGATAATAGATGCTACATCATCCTTGTAGTCAACTCCTATACAATGTCAGTCAAATATGTTGATCATTTGCAAGTAAAGATGAATGACATGCAACAAACACAGGCACCTACAACCTGCTATGGGAGACCTGCTGTATGCCCAATCTATTATCCACAAACAAAATGCAAAAATGGATACATCAATTTGATGTCATCAAATATGAGTCCCTACGGGTCATCGTGGAAAACCCGTCAAATGTCCGGAATACCCCCGCAAATACACCATAATTTGTATACATATAGGTACACTAAAGGGGTAAATACAATCACGACCAGTATGAGCCCCGGCGAGCATGTTATTGATACACATGTGACGTCTAGGGATGCTGCACGGCCTGATCCTTCTCGATACGGTTCGAACCATTAAATAAATATGCGGTCATGAGGTCGACCAAGATATTTATTTTATACATTCATATTAGGCTTTCAAGGCCATTTATAAGAAAAAATTCATCGATAAAATCATACACCCGCATAGGCCCCAGCGAGCGTGTTATTGGTACACACGTGACGTCTAGGAATGTTGCGCGGGTCAATAAGTGAATTCAAGTTCGAACCCGATCCTTCTATACTGAACAATAGGAATTGATAGGGTTCGAACCATCAAACAAATATACGATTGTGATGATAGGTATATTTGTTTTAGTACATTCATATTAGGCCTTCAAGGCCTATAACGATGAGAATTCACTAATAAAGGCACAAAGCCTACGAAACCCGATCCTCCTAAGCAGGTAAATAAGAGTAGACAGGGTCTGAACCATAGGATAAATATGCGGTCATAAAGTTGACCGGAATATTTATTTTATACATTCATATTAGGCCTTCAAGGCCTTTAACAAAGAAAATTCACAAACAAAAGAATGAAGCCTGTGAAACCCGATCCTCCATCGTAACTCGACGTAGTCGACAAGGTTCAAACCACAAATGAAAATGACCTCAAAGTCAACCCGATGATGGCCGTGTTGAACAAAGATCTCAACCGGATGGGTTAACTTCAAATACTTTCAAGTGTCACCCAAATACCCACAAAGTCCAAAATCAAAGATTCCAAAAATCCCAAAATCCAAAAATATTTAAAATTGAAATAAATCATCAAACACTTAAAGCAAAATTCATCAACCCTCCGCAATAATTTGCCGGGGTGGACAAATCAAAATTTACTTCAACTCACAAAGAGCTAATGCCTAGTTGAAAATATCACTAGGATCCATTCTCAAATAATATCCTGTCAGTAAGGATGTGGTACGTGTCCTCTAACCGGCAATTTTGCCGTCAAATGGTATCGCAGGATAAATGGTTATGACCCGGGGCCCTCTGAACCGAGTGGTTTTGCCGCCAAATGGCACCACGAAATACCAGTTATGGCCAGATCCAATACGTTCCTTAGTGGCAGTAAATCATTTTGATATGAATCAATAAGATATGATCGATAGGGCATAAAGTCCTCTATTAGCTAAGGTGGATTCAAAGTTGTTCCCTTAGGTAAATACCCATCCTAGGTCTACAAGGTACCCTTGGACGAAGCAACCCATGGCTGCCGACAAGGATCCTTCTGTCAGATTGGGTTGACTACCTCATCTGACTAAGTAGACCAGGGATCATGATGGCCCGAGACGACGGAACCATGGGATCTTGATCGGGTCCATCATCCATTCCCCCACCATCCGCTTTAAGTGCTAGGTGGTGAAAATTTCTATTTTAAATATCAAATCTTCAAACCTCCAAAATATTCAATTTTCCCAATTCTGATTATCTATTGCTGCTACTATATGCCAGATATACGTATCTAATTGACGACTAGCCTTAATCGAAAGTTCTCTCTCATGATTGAGAGGAGTAATTAACTATAGGGGCTTGCACCTATAGGAAACCAGACCTCAGATCATAAAGTCCTCACCAAATGAGGGCGAAATCTCTGGGTAGTATCTTATCTACAAACCCATATGCCTTCCAAAATTTACCCCGGAACTATATTCAGTTAAAACTCCCTTGCCGAATAAAAAGAAAAGCGAGTGGAGGCCGAGGCCGAATTTTCGGAGCCCACAACTTAATAAATATATTAAGTTTCATGAATCAGTCTGATTCAATCTAAGCTTGCTTTAGTATGATTCTTGATTTATGTTCATGTGTTGCATCAGTATGAGTGATGGATCTTGTTGTTTCTTTATATAATAGATATTTTAACAATAAGTTTGGGTATGAGCCATCTAGATATTATGAGTATCAAGCTTAGTGATTTCCATGGATTCAGTATTAAGGACAAATTTTGAGATTTAATGTCTTAATATCTTCCTAGGATAATGATTCTTTCTAAAATAATTAATCTTCATATATTTTTTTCTTTGATATGGATTTTATTTTGTTTTTTATTAGATTTGTTTTAATTATTTCTTTCTTGCAAGACAAACTAAGTTTTCTCTTTATAAAAAGTTAAGGAACCATTGAGTAATTGAGTAAAATAGTAAGAAAATATTTTAAAGTTATTTTTCTCCAAGCACTTTTATAAACTTGCATGGCATGAAGTTGAACAAATTCTTCTCCTTAAGCTATTGTGGTTTCTGTGCATTAAATTCTCTCACCTTCTCTTCCAGATGTATTATTTTGCGTTGTTTAGTATTGCTTTTTGCTGAATTCCATGAAATAATTCCGCTTTGCATTGCACTATTCTTCCCTTTGATTTTATTACTGGCTTTTAAGTTCTTAGTTTCTATTGGAACCCAGTATTTTCTTTTCCAAGTAATCTCATATCTCCCATGCAATTCTCCTGTAGCTGAGATTGGAATTCCTAGAAAGTAGAAAAAGGCATAAGTGGCAAAATTATTGGTTCCGAGAACTAATAAGTTGAAGGTAATAGTTGTGATTGTTTGTGCTTGTTATGTAACAGGTATAGGTTCTTTGAAGATTACTAAAGTTTATTCATCATGAGGGGAAAACATTTTCTGTAGCTACAAAAATCATATTGCCATGGCTTCGTTTGGGGCGACTTTCTTGCTGCTTCTTAAAGCAGCATTCTAGTTTAATGATTAAAATTTTTGTACTAAAAAGTTGCTTTAAGAAGCAACAAGAAAGTTATCCTAAATAAAGCCTATAGAGGAATTGAAATTTGGATGAACTTATGAGATATATGCATGTTGTGAGGGTTGAATTTCTTTCTCAGCTCATAGATTCTTTGATTTTGCTTCAAAATTTAGAAATATGATGGAATTATGAGAGAGACAAAAATCTGTCCCAACGAAGCCTTAATCTATTATATATCTATGACTTAATATGCACACACTTGATTCAAACATCCATACACATACATTTCGATAAGATCCCGAGCTACCTTGAATCGATCTGAGGGTCCTCAAATTCAAGTTCAGTTAAGCCATGTTTGAAATATAATATGGCCGTTGTTTTTCTTCAAAAATAGTGACCGAGCATTACTACAACACATTAATTGGATTATGTTAAAATACAGGGGGACAGATGTGAGTATAGAAAACAAGAATGAGGGCTTTACCCATGTTTTTGTCTCTACTTTTGAAAGCACAGAAGGTATTGCTGAGTACCTTTACCATCCAGCTCATGTGGAGTATGGGAAGAAATCTTTGCAATATGTAGAGAAGTTCATTGTCTTTGACTATAAGCCAACCATTGTTAAGCTGTGATTTGGGTTATAGAATATGGTTAAGCATATGGCTCTTATTATAAACTCGGTGAAATGCTCTCCTGATTGAGAATAATGCTGTTCAGCAACATTTGTGTTATTTTCTGCTTTCATAATCTACTATTTATATTTCCTATAATGCCACCGTTTTGTTTTTTCTATTTAAATGTCTTTCATGAATGGTTTGAATTGCTCATTAGCTGACCGTTAGAGAGATCTCTTTTGATTTTATCATGATTGAATTATTTACGAAGGGGCTGTTTGATTTTAAGTAAAATGAGTGCAAATTATAAAGTATTCAAAATGTAAGGATTTCGTGAATATTGTTGTTTAGTTTGAAGTAAAACAAATGTAGCTTAAAATTTTGGTGTGTTTTAAATGCACAATCTAGTGCAAATTTGATGAGTTTGAAGTTCGTTCTATTTAGGTGATTTCCAAATATAACACAAAACTTATCATCATTGTTGTTGTCATCGATGCCACTTTTTGCTCGCCATCGCCACCACCTCCACCTTTGCTTGCCGCACCACCCGCCGCTTGCCACTACTACCACCTGCATGTTGCAGTCACCAGTCGACTGTCGCCACCCACTGTCGGCCATTGCTGCCACTTGTTATTGCCACCATTATTGTTGCCGCTATACCCGACACAATCGTCAACAGTATCCTTGCCCCCCACTGATAGTGGCTATTGGATGTCTTGTCACTGCCATCGACCGTGGCGAATGCCATTAGTCATCTCCATCGGCAGTTGCCACCTCCCGTTGATGGCAGCCACACACCTCCAACGCCATCACTCACCTTGGGCGCCACCACCTGTCGATGGAGACCACTTGCCATAAATGCCGTTGCTTCCTGATGCCTCCGTTAGCTAATGACCTTTGCTATCATCAGATTTTACAATGTATACAGTTTACAGTTTACCTAAAACCAAAAAAAAAAAACATTTACATTTATTTACACTCATCCAAACAACTCTAAAACATTTCAATTACAATATATTCTTTTTTAGCCAACTAAATAGCTCCTAATGAAAAATGTTCATTAGGAGAGATTTTTAATATGAGAAATGCTGAAAGAGTTGGAAGTGGTGTTATATGTCAAGGAAAAAAATAGGTTGGAATATTTTTAACTAAAATTTGACCAATATGAATTTTAGTTCAATTAAATTTGCTTTGAGATGATAGTAATACATTGCTAATTAATTCACTCTTTTATTACACTCAAATCCAAGCAAATTTAATGAAAAAAAAATCATCATTATCAAATTTAAATAAATAAATAAAATGATAAAGTTTTCTCCAATTAAATTTGCTCGATTAAAAAAGACTATAGCACTTGTGATGATTTTGAAAATCATATCTATAAAAAGTTGCATTGGCCACAAATGGATTGAAAGTCTCAATTAATAGTGTGGTTGGTAATTTGATATTTAGACAAATCTCTTGTACTCTTGTTTTCTACTTTGATTTAGTTGTAAGGCTGTTATAGGCGGATTTAGTAACACGAAGAACTTCGGTTTCGTTTGGAATAATTTTTTGTTATTTTTTAAAGTAAAATTTTAATATATATATATATATATATATATTTTTTTAAATTAAAAATTTTAGTATTAAAAAGCTGATTTAAAAAATAGTAAAAAAATTATTTGAAACAAAGCCTTATCATAGCTATTTGTGTAATTAGTATTTAAACCCCA